CCCTCATCCTGGCCGGGCCTGGCCTCCCCTCTCCTCCCCACAGGGCCGGTTCCCGCTCCACAGGCTGCTGGTGGTGGCCCAGCTGGGCCAGGGGACAGCGGCTGAGGAGGTGGCAGGTGGGTGACTCGGGCAGAGGGACAAGCCCCCGCGGTGTGGGGCAGGGAGCCACGGCCGGGCTGCCCACGGCGTGCTGGGGCTGGGGGAATCCCACCCTCCCTGCTCACCTTTCGTTGTCACACAGCTTCTTCGAAACACATTAAATATTGCGTGGCGGTGGCAAAAATCAACCCCCAGAAAGGTATGGCGCTGCACGTGCAGGGCGACAGCAGGGGCAGTGTGGAGTGGTGACACACTTGTGGCAGCCAATAAAACCATAAAAATAGTATTTTGTTAAACCATATAAAGAGAATTGTCACTTGGGAATCCTTCCTAAGCAAATGAAACAACTGAGAAACTGAGGGAGAGAGAGACTTTAAGAATTAAGTCCGATACCTATTTTGCAACCAACTTTACGTATGAGTTTCTCAGGGAACTAATCACCAAATGTTCTGTCTGGTGAGTGAGATACCTTAAGGTAATCTTATTTTATTTAAACACTGGCACTGGCTGACACAACGTCGAGCAGAGCCAAGGACTGAGGTGCACACACAGGTTCCTGAAGTGCTCTCCATGGGGGCCCTCCAGCAGCAGCGATGTAACGACACCTGCAAACACACACTAATGGGAATTTTAGACCTCAGGTACCGAAGCAGTGCAGGTTTTGGTGCAGTTTTAGGAACTAGGGTGAATTGCAGCGCTGCGGCTGTTCAGAAGAGCTTCCCAGGGTAGCGATGCCATCTTCTGAATAACAAAAGCACGATTGTGACTGCTGTCTGGGGGAGCAGAGAACACAGAACAGACCACACAACACCAAGGCGCTGGAGCTATCGCTATAAACCCTTTGACAAACTGCCAGGTTTTCTTTTAAAACAAGGTTATCACAGAGGATTGTTTGACAACGCATTAGAAGACCACTCCGGAGAACAAGTCTCAGGTCTGCTACTCCTCTATTCCAGCTGTATCTTTCATGTAGTTGAGGTAAGTTACATAAATTCCTAGTGGGATCAAGCGACCTTCATTTTTGTACAAATCCAGCTTCTAAGATCCAGCTAACTACAGATGTATAACCACCTCCTGCTGCATACATAGGCTTCAAGACCTGCACAACACTGGGGTGGGTTCGTGGCTTACCTTGGGGAGTTACTCCAGCCCCTGCTTCAGATAACTGTCCCAGAACGTTATTCTGACTTAGCTGACACGTTCTGTCAGACGTAACAGGAGCAACACGCGTTGTCCTTAGCGCCTGCGACTCAAAGGGAAAGCCCAGCTGATGAATTATTTTTATATTCATGAATTAGTTTGTAATACGCAATTCTGTAAAGGCTCTACCCTTTCCTCTGCAGTCCTGCAGTAGCACAATCCATCTCATCATCCAAGATTTAGCTTCTCTCCAAAATCAAGGTCACAGGTAAGGGCTTCGTCTTACTTTAGGTGAAACAAAATTTTAACAGAAGTGGTAAAATGCTTCCGTAAGCTTAAACTGAACATTAGCTACGACTACATCAAGCTCTTATTCTCCCACGGAGCACCTGCTGACCACAGAGCTGACCCTTTCCAGTTACCACGACCATCCTTTCTGGGTCAGTCAGCACCGCCAGCAGGCCCTTCCCCAGGCCTCTGCCCTGGAACCTGTCTTTGAGACACCAAGACTTCAACTGTCAACAGCCCTCACAGGTTTCTGAAAACAGGGAAATTCCATCCTTAGGGATCGGCTGTATGATTTCTGTGCCCTGCTCTGTAAACATTTGTAGATGTACATACAGGAACGCCAGAAATGATGTTCAGGGTGAGTCACTGCCTTCCAGCCTGCTGCCTGCCCTTTCGGCACTACCCAACCAGTCCCCCCGAGTTCAGACAATTGCCTTTAGCTTAACCCAAGTGTTTCTCTAGGGCCCTGCATTAATTTACTGAAATCCAGGTTCACAGAAGCCACCTCATTCTCTTTGCTGTGAATGGAATTCCTGTCCAAGCAAGCTCCCATCCCACTCTGCATGAACTCCTACTGCTCTTTTCCTTGTTTCTTACCCCCACGTCCAGCTCAAGACCCTCGCGGTACCTCAGAGCACCATTAGAAAGGGTTCTGGGGGTGAGTGGCAGGATGCACCACGCCGCCTGCAGACACTCCTCCAGCACAGGAATGCAAACAACTCACTCCGTAGTTTATGAAACTTGATCATCTGATAAGAACTTGCTGTACTTTAGGATGGAATTCACTCTTTCCACACAGGGCTTTACTCCAGGAAATTAAAGTTTTAGTGGTGGCACATAACATCCCCACCAGACTGTTCCCAGACTGGCACGTGGCAACAGCGACGCCTCCGGCGACACGTCCACGGGCCCCGACGCCAGCGCAGTCCACGGCGGAGGTGGTCGCAGAGTGCCTCGCCCTCCTACCCCAACTGGCAGACTGCGTTCAGAATTTTGAGGTAAACTTCAAATAACTGGGATCTAAGAAACTTACCGAGTTTACCCCCCAAAAAATCCCCCCAAACCACACAAGCGAGCAGCCGCGCTGGTCTGCCAAGCAGCATTTACAAGCATATACACCTGAGCAGATTCCAGCAGCAGTGTTAAAGCACTACAAAACCTCATGTATTCCAAGCTTCTTCCTGGACCTCTGTAGGGCTATTTTGTGCTGCCATTTGATTAGCTAATTAATTGCACTGGCTGAGCTTGAAGCCAGGTGAAAGCCACTCATGAAGCCAATACCTCACCCTGCCTCCTCCCCCTGCCCACTGCTGCGCTCCCGGTTGTGCCAGAGCAGCTCGAGGCCTGATGTTTTGGGCAAATTGCCTCAACTTTAACTGCATCACAGCCCTGTGCTCTTACTCAAACTGTATTGGAATACGCTGTTTGTTATCCAGGATGACAGTGAGGATACGAATGAGAACGTACACACTCTTGCACCCGAGCTGCTAATCCCGGCAGAGACAATTAACTATTTGTGTAACGCTGAAGAATGGGCAAGTCCCGAAGATTTTTTGAGGATTTATTTAAGTCCTTCACAACCTGCCCTGGATTCAGGTACACCGCATAGAGTTTGAGAGATAAACATCAAATTTAGTCACAGAACTAGAATTTGTGGCTCCCAACGCTGAATTTTGAGATGAATGTTACAGTGCTCGTGCAGGGGCAGGGGAAAGCAGGACTACACCCACTACTGGGGGTCACTTCCCCGGTTCAGAGTGGTCTCAACTGGAAACTGGGCAGCCACTGGGATTGCAAACTGGGGTAACCAAGAAGGCAGCAACTATAATATATGCGATGTGCCTTGTCAAAGCCTTTATGCAATGCAGTTTATTTTGTAGTTAAGCCCGAGGTCTAGCTTAGTAACTTCAATAAAACGTATTATGGAGTATTAAGGAATTTACAGGTTGAGTAAATTAATTCAACTATTTATATGAATGTTACCTGAATTGACTAGTTTCCTCTCCCTCTCTCTCGTTCGCAGAAACTGTATGGCCTGTTCCATCCCACTTCTCTGTGTGACACAGGCTGTATCCAGCGTTCCTCCTCGCAGCGGGCCTCATCTCTGTTTAAGGTGAATCTACACAGCAAAGAACAGATGCACGTTCACTCCCAGGATGCTCCCACCAGAGTCCTTCGGAGCAGCAGCTGAGCCACCAGCGACTCCTGAGCTGCAAAGCCCAGGGAAGGACCCCGGGAACTTCAGCGTCCGCTCAAGCAATGTTACCCACAAACTTGAATAAAAATGCCTTGAGTTGACAAAAGACAATCTTTAATTTTATAAATGTTCACCCAACTGACGAATCCATACAGCTGTTTCAAAGTTCTTTCAAAATTCAACCGTTTTCAATGAAAGCACAAAAGCCACTTCCACAGTTTTATCTCGAAACAGTCGCAAGTTTCACATAAACAAAAGCAGGCTTGGTTAATACAAATAACTATGAAATAAGTATTAAGTACTGATCATTAAGTAGCAATGAAATGATTAAAGATACAGTAAGTTTCCTTCTACAGTAAGACAGTCCTTCAAGGCACTAGAATACATCCACAGTTTTGACAAGGTGACTGATAACCAGCAGTCACCACCAGCACTCTGGCATTTTTTGGTTCATGTTTTAAAAAGAATCTGCAGCAAATCAGTGAGGGAATGTCTCTTGCAAGGCATCTCCTTGTAATGTCTAAGAACTAGAAATAAAAGTCTAACCGTGACATTAAAAAGATTATTTCCATAATACATGCACTTTAAATAACTAACGTTCTGCTTCTTATTCTTTTGGAATTTCTGCTAATACCATCTGAATTAGCAGCAATTACACTTCCTATGCAAGTTTCTGCAATAATTAATTCCTTCCATCCAAGAGGTGGAAAAACCACTGCTGAGACACAGATCATTAAACTTCTTCTGAATGGCTGAATCACTTTGTGTTGCGCAAGTCACAATTCTACACGGTTCTGCCATATCGTCAAAAGAAGCTTTTCACTGCCAGGTCTGTTAGTTTTCCCACCAGGAGAGGAACCTTTCAAAAGCTGGAGTTCCCGTTACAGAGCAGTGCTTTCCGTGTCGTTGTCAATGTCGAGCATGAGGTGGTTGTGCAGTTCTTTGCTCGCTGGCTCTGTAAGAAGCTCTGAAGAAGGGTTTTGAAGTGGTTCTTGAATACTGGAATTAGAGTCTGCACAAAAAAGGGAACAGGAAGATCAGCAGCGCGGACAGTGACACCTCACTGACTAGTGCATTTCTGGTGCGTGTCCTTAGAAAGAAGGAGGAAAGGAAAGACCAACAAAGGCTTTTCAAACAGAGGGCTGGCACGTATGTGCACGTGCACACATGGACACAGAAAGGCTAAGTCAGACTAAAAAGCTTACGAGTCGCTTCTCCTCCATACCGTTATTTAGTCTGGTAGGTAACAGAAGAAAACCATTGCTTTCTGAAGAACAGAAGACAGCAAGTACAATTCAGTATCAGATTCCTCAATGCCCCTCAATGCCCCCGAGCGCTACGTCACTCCAGACTTCCTCCTCAAAACACAATGGTCACTCAGCAAAGAAATCTGGCACCTGCATCAGCAGCCAGGTAACCCCCACCCATGACTTTTGACACCATACGTGCTCCTACTGCTTCTAAAAGGAGGCACTGCCACAAGAAGAGAAATTCTTTAAACCAAATGCAGATTAAACCCCTTTCCTGTGTATAACGGGGAACGTCATGTTCTCTGCCTCTTCTGGGGGAAGAAGTTTGCTCAAGCCAAGGTGTCCAAGACCTCAAAACGCTGCATTTCTGGTGACTGACTGCCCTGGTAGTTAGAAGACTAGAAAAATCTGTAACAGTTCAAAAAAATGTAACTGAAAATACTAAGTCAGTATTTTGGAAAACGAATGTATAATATGCCATGACATCACTTACTGCAATCCAGCAGCTGTCCCAAATAGAAAATAATTTAGATCATTTATATCAATAAAGAATCCAAATAAATGCCTTGCTTTTAAACACAGGGGGCAGAGACAGGCATCCTGTAAAGAATTCGACTCATGTCTCGAGCATTAAATCTTAAATTTAGCCCAGAAGTTACTTTATAAATGCCCAAGTTGAATGTTTGAGCTAAATGACACGGCAGAGGTGAAAGCAGACAGGACCTGCAGTCCGGGTGCAGGCTCCCCTGCCCCTCCTCACGCAAGGAGCGGTGATCAACAGCATCACTGGGCAAAAGACAGCGGCTGGAACTCCGTCGGTTTATGACCAGACGCTGATTAAGCAGCTCAGTGTTCATGTTTGTATTGCTGCAACTTCCCCAAAAATGTGATGCCAGGATTCACGTTCTCCTGGGAGGTGTGAACGACACATTTTCTCCCTGGTCCTGTACCAAAGCCTTGGGGATACCGTGTTCTGCTGAGATAATATTTGAGTGGTAAATGAAATCATCCCAAAGGCACAGCACAATCCATCAGTCCTGGTATGACTTGTTAAACACCATCAGCTGGGGGAAATCCTTTAAATCGATTTCTTTCCCTCATTCTCCTTAGGAAAGTGAGTGCCCTGTGGCACCTGCAAGACAGCCCCTGTTCAACAGAGCATGGATAGCAATGAAGGAATAATTACTGGGGCTACTTTAAACCCAAACTTTGTCACTTCGCCCCACATCCATGTGTTTAAACTAAGTCCCCAATCCCTGAAACCGAGTTTCACACCACCGGCAGCTCTCCTGTATCCCCAACTACACTGTGCAACTGCTCTTTCTACAAGCCATGAAAATTTAGGTACTTTTAAAGTCAGTTGATTTAAACTTTAGATGTTTTTAGTCATTTTTACTATTGTTAACAGAAGCAATACAACATAAAAGTATAAACTACAATCAGGCGAGTTCCCAAATTGTTCTTTCATTTTTCTCTTACTCAAAATGTTCCACGCAGAGCTTGACCTCAGAGCGCTGAGCAGAGCCAGGCAGCAGGGGCGCTGCGTTCTCCCCAACACCTAACAGCTCCTACCGTTACCTCTGAACCTTCACTTAAAAGGTGTGCTTCAGCTTTAGATGCAGGCACAGAAGTTCTCCCTACCATGACTGCACGCTGAAGGGTGAATCGGAAAAGGAGGTAACTGAAAGCATGAGGGGACACAGGACAGGAGTATTTGTGACAAACAATGGGACAGCTACATCAAATACAGAATGAGCCTCTGCATAAAACACGCGGATGTCTACATTGGATTTTTCTGTACGTGGAAGTGGTACAGTGTGAAACTGGCCAGTCAAAACACGAACGACTTTATAGACATTCTAGTCTCCAATACTTTTAGTACGTTAATGTCAGAGCGAGCATCAAACAGCCATTCTTTTTGCATGCCACGCTAATGATAATGCAAGCAAGCAGTGTTATTGGTGACAGGTTAGTAGTGAGCATTAGCACAGACATGATTATGAATTAGCAACATTTTTGGCCAATCATATGCCTTTTCCTTACCATTGAACTTTCCAATACAGTTCCTACTGAATGCAGGTCAAACATCTAGATTATTTAATAAAATTTTTGATTAGAATATTCTTTTCTAGGGCTTATTACTTTAATACCATAAATAGAATTTGAGGCATTACTAAAGGCCCGTACAGGGACAAAGGAATTCAACAGTATCCTGAACACTATTCAGAATTCCCATTCTGGTATTATGAAGTTTGCTGGCAACTTAATTTTGGCTTCCATTATTCCCATCTGTCTTCCCTCGCTCCACTATTTAAGGTTAAAGTTAAAACCAGCTATTTCACACTGTGAATTAGGTAAGTCAATCTATAGTCAGTGCTTATATGTGCACGTGTAAATGTTAGAGCAGATACTCTTATGTAATATGCAGTGGTGTTAATTCAGAATATTAATTCTTTAAAAAAAGGCTGATCTGGTAAAGGTGGATGATCCTGTACCGAGCATACTGCTATAGGTAAGCCCGAGTATCACTTCAACTGTTCCTCAAGCTGTATTTTCACAAAACATACTAGATTTTCTAGGTTCCTCGATCGGTTTTTGCTAGAGAATCCTTCAGCAGCAGCTTCCCTTTACTGGTTTTCCTGCACAGCAGCTTTCATCCTGTTTACTGTACACAACTTCCATGGCCAGTTTGCTACGCTCTGCACTTGAAAGGAACGGCATGAAGTCTCTTCAGTTTCATTTCAACACTGTTGATTTCTGGTTGGTTGTGTTGTTGGGTTTTTTTGGGGTTTTTTTTTGTTGTTTTTTTTTTTTATATTTCCCAGACTACAGGGCAGTTGGCTGTGACTTCCCTGAGCAGGAGTCAGCTCTAGGCTGTAATTCATGGCTCGCTGTCCCATCTGGCAGATGCTCGCCCTGGGTAACTGGAACTCCCCCAGTAAGAAAGCAGCCCCCTGCACACCAGCTGGGTATTATTTAGGAGACAAGTATCTCTCCAGTTACACCGGGGTAAAACAAACCCTGCTTGTCTGCTATCATTAAAGCAACTTCCTCAGAACCAGAAAAATTCCAAAATGAAAACAAATATGGTCAACCTATGGAACACGACTTCAAAATTCAGGTTAAGTCTTTCCTTGGAGTTTGACTCATCAGCACAGGTCCCATTCTTAACTTGTTTGTAAGTGCTGGAAAGATCCAGAGCCCAGCCTTACTTCTGGACCCAGTTTTGAAATAAATTGCTCTTGTATCTTAAAGATGCTGACAAAAAGAAGTACAATAAGGAAAATTCTGTTATTTTAAAAAGCAAAGCTACTTTTTAGTTGCTTAAGGAGCTCATTTACTGCTAGAATTTAAGAAAACTGTACTTCTCAATCCAATACTGATTTCATTATCTTCCCTGTAAGCAGTCAAATCTTGAGATAGTTCAAGAAAGCAGCCTCAACTTTTTCAGCCTGTCATGCAGTTGTTACCTTAAAAAGGCAGCACCTCTACCCCGTCACACGGGAACAGGAAGGTTATTAATGTGCTGTTTGGCAGCTGTGGTTGAACAGACCACTACTATTAGTGAGGCTGGAGCTGACAGAATGCAAACGTGCCAGAAGGCAGATGCTGCTGCTGGGTGCTCTGCTGCAAAGGGGTTTAGTCACATGAACATGTATTTTTGCCAAATAAATTCCAAGTAGTTAAAAATAACTGAAAACCTAAAGTGAAAGCTACATGGAAATGCAACCACA